TGCCCCATCCAGCTGTCTAGATTGGGAGATTGCCCCTATCTCCTATGCTGATACGCACACATCCACTTATATATTTTATCACACACAGTAACCTTGGATCAATCCGGAATACCATTTAGATGGAAATGCTACTTTGATGAAAAGCGATTATATCAACTCCTAGTTTCAAAACTGCCTGGTGTTCAGGCAATGGCTATAACTCTCAGCAACTTCCTGTCAGTTAAAATGTGATTTAAACATTCTATTGTGTACCAGTTGTGTTTCCTGTTTTACAATATCCAGATTTAATGCTGCCTTCCTGCCGTATCTACGTAACAGGTGATTCAGAAAGTTACTTTGACTTCTCTTTCTGTCTACGTCTCTACTATTCTCTCTCTCTTCCTGCCCCATGAACAGTTTTTTTCCCCTGTGGAGTAATTTTTCAACCAGTAGTCACGCTATAAACTTTTCTCTCCTCCTCAGATCTCAGGGCAGCCTCTTAGAGCAAAGGGCCTAGTCTATTTGTGCTGTTCTCTCTCTCCTGGCCATGGGAAGGGCCTGATGCCCTTCAGAAGGCAGCTTTACAGTAAGAAACACGACTTTCAGCACCAAATGCCATTCTGCATGTATATAAATCTGTTTCTTATACAATCACATTATTTCTCTCCCAACCACCTTGCACATTCCCACTCGATAGAGAATAAGACAGCCACATTGTTGGAACAGAAATAATCTCCTCCACTTCGCAAATCATGATCATGCCCAGTGTGAGGCGGTTTCTGCTGCTGACATGTTGGAGGGCCAAAAAAATGCCATTTCTCAACAGGGGCAGCCACAACTCTGCTCTAATGCCACCCTGAAGTGGAAGCCATTTAGGAAAACCCTGGAAAGTCAGCGCAATGTTGTCTGGGCCCCAATCTGAATGACTTATCCCAACTAAACCAAACTTGCATGCCCCTCACATCTCTTAGCTCAGAGTGGACTGTTAATTTGTCTTGAGAAATTATATTCATTCTGAAACCAAGCACAGTGCCATGCCTCTAGGGGGACAGGCATTCAGTAAATATTGATGGATCACGTCGAGCCTGACATTTGGGAGTAAAAGGCCAAAATGGAAAAGGAAATGAAATGACAGCTTGCCAAAATAACTGGACATGTTGGGGCTCTAGCAGCGGTTTTCAGATTGTCCTGCGGGATCTGACATTCTGTTGGAACCGATCCAAGTTTCCAAACAATTGATTTAAAAAAAAAAATGTGTGTTTAAATGGATA